TAATATAACAACTGTTACTTTCTTTGTAATTTGCTACAAAATGATATGAGGTACTTTCTAAACGTAGCAATTCTAGTTTGTTTTTCTGTACCTTACGAAAATATAATTTATAGAAAAAGAGTTTGGTGTATTATTTTTCCAAGTTTAAATATTTAATAATCAATAGAATTTTCAAGTTTTTTTAGCAACATTTACAAGAGTAATAAAAACTATGTTCACTGCTTATATTAAACTGATTAAAACTTCCTTTATTAAAATAATTATTTATATGATATTTTTGTTTCTCCTGTAAATTTGCATAGAAAAATTATTTTTGAATGCATGTTTCAATTTCCCGCCCTAAAGTATTTTTAAGGCCCGTATTTATAAACAGAACTTACGTGAGTCGGACTTGGGTAAGTCGTCCTTGAACGAAAATCAAAGTTCGGTTATATCGCGTGAATTTAGAGATGGGTAGTAACAAATCCGTAAATGTACATAACAGTTACATATTTGCTATTATCCATCTCTAAATTCTAGTTTAACACCAGAACCACCTAGAACTTCAGAGACGTTGTAACCGAAGTTCGATTTTAGTTCAAGGACGACTTACCCAAGTCCGACTCACGTAAGTTCTGTTTATAAATACGGGCCTAAATGTTCCCGCTATTTATGACTGGATACGCACAGCAGTAAGAAAAGAAGAAAATTTACTAGTGGCGCCATCATAGACTGGTTCTAGTTACAATCGCCCAAACAACTTTTACCGAACAAAAAAAAAAAAATACATTGAGTTACACGTCTCGCTGCCCGCTGGGTTGTCTCTGACAATATGTATTTATATTTTTATTTATTTACGGAAAATCTCCTTTTACAAAATAATTATTATCAGTAGATATTTTAAACCTAACCTAAAGTATCACACAAAAAAGAAAAAATAACTTAAATATCACAAAAAACTTAGAGCTAAAAAAGCTAAATCGATAAGTACTCCCTCAGCTGATTTTTAAACCTAAATAGATTAACTCCCAAAAGATCAGTGTGTCTGTTAATTTCATTTCCTTGCCTTTAAAATCTGGTTAAAGGACTGTTGAGTCCGTAGTTCGTATGATGGAAGCTAATTGAATACTCTGTACAGTTTATACATTTTGTAGAAGTTAAAATGACCCTGCCCAGCCTGTCACATCAACGCTTTTGTTTGTTAAATGTGTATGTATGTATTTATTCACTTCAACTTTTTTTCACCAGAATTGAATCTGGATTATCGACGGCCCGGATTTATGACGTCCGGATTATCGATGCTCTACTGTATACCATTTGGCCCCTACCAGTCGAACACTTCCTTATGTCAAGTTAGAAGAGATCAAATCAACTATGGACAAAAAGTATTATTGAGTGGCTAGCCAGAACTGAAATTAACAATGGATATCCCAGACTCATTTTTATGGTCCTTTTTAAGGCACTAAAGTATCTGGCAATTTTCCTAACATATTAGTTCTTAATATGTTCAAAATATACTTCCATATGATATAAAATATGCTGTATCGACCTCAAAAACTGTTTAAAGATGATCTTAATTTTTTTCTTTTAAACTCATGACGATTCCTTCATAAATATTATTATACCCTGTATGTATTGAAAAATAATGAACAATTTATTTGGATAAAAAAATATTCAAGAATAAAATGGTTGGAATCAGGGCTGCCACATTATTGGAATTGGAATATTCTGATAAACTTTGCATTATTTTGGAAAATGTATATTTTGCTAACTTAACAGAATTTTTTATATTTGTTTAATAATTTTATATGAACAGGTAGAGCGTTATAGAACTTTGTACCTAGATAATTTACACTGTTTTTAAAAAACTCACTATTTAGTTTTGGTACTTTAATGCACATGTTCGATGCAGTTCTAGTGTTATGTCTATGTTCTAAATGGTTTTTTTTAAAAATCATTTTTTTGTATATAACTGCGTGAATATATAAACATCTAACATTGCTAATTTTTTCATTATATAAAGTTATGGTGGGACAATCTATCTCTTTTATATATTAACTTCATGATTTTGTTTTGAATAACATTTAACTGATTTAATGTAGTTCCATACAGGCCTCCCCATACTAAGATTCCATACCGTAGATTCTAGATTCTACTAGACTGTATTATAATGTTATTAGATCCTGGTTGAGAAATTGTTTTAGAAGATAAAATTTATAAATCAAAAATCTAAGTTTTTTTGCTATATATATTATATGGCAGTCCCATTTTAAGTGCTGGTCTATAATTATACCTAAATATTTGTATGTTTCTGTTTCCTGTATGTCTAAATTTTGACATGTTAAGCTTCTAAATTGAGGTCGATCAGCCACTGTCTTTGAAAAAGCAATGTAGTTTGTTTTGTTAACATTCAAAGACAATTTAAAAACATCCAGCCAGTTTTTGACATGTTCCATTCCAGCTATAGCAAGTGTCTTGATGGCTTCCCAATCTTGTATCACTGAAGACTAGCACTGTATCATCAGCATATGATACAACTTTACCTTGAATATCAATCTGAGTTAAGCTCTTAATGTATAAATTAAATAGTATAGGTCCCAGAACAGTCCCTTGAGGCACTCCGATTTGTATATTTTCAGGGTTACTCACATTGTCTCTGACCTTTACCTTCTGTTGTCTGTGTGTCAAATAATTTTTAAAAACCTTCAACACGATGTCCCTCACTCCATTCTGTTCAAGAACATTTAAGAGCTTCTGATGTGGCACCGCGTCAAATGCTTTTGCTAGATCTAGAAATACACTTGTTATCAGTATTCATTTCATCAGTAAAGCCATATTGGTGTTTGGGAAGTAAGTCATTAGTTTTTAAAAAATCTGTCAGTCTATCTTTCACACATTTCTCAAATATTTTGGCCACATTACTAATTAAACTAATAGGTCTATAGTTAGTTATTAATTTTGGATTACCAGCTTTATAAATAGGTGTTATAATTGAAGTTTTAAATTGTTTAGGTACGATTCCTGTATTAAAAATACAATTAATTATATGCATTAAAGGTTCCAGTAAATACGGATGTAGTAGTTTCAGATGTTTTACTGTTATACAATCAAATCCTGGGGCACTATTCTTTTTTAAACTATTTATGTGTTTTATAATATTGTTTTCGCATGTAGGTTTCAGAAACATTGATTTTTCAGTGACACAGGAAAATCCACATTACATTCAGGGATATTTGTGAACATATTAGTGCCAATAGTCAAAAAGTAGTTATTGCAGTAATTCGCCATTTCATTATCATTTTCAAATTCTTCATTATGTTGGTTAATTAGTATTATTTTTTTTATGATTTTCATTAGTTGCTTCAGAGATTAATTGATTAGTTTTTTTCAGATCATTTTTGTTTTGGTTTATTTTATTGTTATAATAGTCATTTTTAGTTTTTTTGATATTAGTTGGTTTAAATTATTTCTAAATGTTTTATAGTGAGTTTGTTTGTTAATAGTATAGTTTTTTTGTAGATTTTTTTTAAGTTTGTTCCTAGTTTTAATAGAATTAATTAAACCATTTGTTATCCATGGCTTTATTTTTTTATGGATTCAGTACCATTTTAAATACTATTTGGACATTTTTTGAACAAATTAATGTATTTTATCTACAAAATAGTCAATTCAGTACCATTTCCAGTACTATTTTGACATTTTTTGAATAAAGTGACATATTGTGCTAATGATGGATGACAGTTGACCATTAAGTCATGTGATGAGTCAAATAATTTATTTGAAATTGAAATTTATTGCACATTTGTTGGTTGTAATTCTGAAAGTAAAATGGATTAAGATGTTTTTTATATATAAGTTAATAAAAGTGTTGAACCACAAGAAAATCATTTTTATTGCACTTGTCCCGCCCATTTGTTTCTATAGGATACACTTTTTCTAAATGTTTAAAATTGTTCTATAAAAGATATTTAATAGTTAATGAATTTAAATCACCAGTTATTTTTGAGGTGTTGTTCTATTTAGGCATTGGTACATTTTCATAAAATATAGCTTTTTTTTAAGTTGGTTATTCAGTACGTTTTTCTGAAATTCAGTAAGTTTTAAAATGTTTTTCAGTACGATTTGTCATTTTCATTCTAGCAGCTCTGGTTGGAATTCCCAAGATGGGACTACTGACACAATGAATAAAAATGAAGGTATAAATTAGTGGACAGTATTGATAAAAATTATATACAAGGTGTTCCTAAATATCATGTCACAATTGAAGGAGGTAATTCCTTGGCTCATATTATGACTTAAAGTTCATATAAACATGTGTCCTAAATTGATGTTTCGAAGATACAGAGTGTCCAAATTTTCAAAAATAATCAGTTTTTCATCAATATCATAAACACTCTTTTGCCAATTTTGATGAAATTTGGTACATATTATTTAATCTGATCCCATGAAAATGCTATAATTTGTTTGCATGGCCCACTAGACTATTGGCCATTTTAAGATTTTGTGCAGGCTCTAGACTCCCATTTTTGAATATGTGATGAGGAATATGAGGTAAACGATTAACAAAAATTACTTTTTTATTGAGATTATCAGCATAAGTTATGTTAGCAAATTTTCAGAAACTTTTGAGTCATATTTTTTGGATCGAAGACTCATTATTGGCGTGCAGTTTTTATTTTTTATCTTGATAAAAACACGAAATATAGAAAAGATGTATTTTTGATTGGCGAATTTGAAAAAGAAAAAATATGAAAAAGTCAGTGACCTAAGTACTTTTTTTTTGATTATTTTTAAAAAATTGAACACCCTGTATCTTTCAAACAAAGCAATTTAGGACACATGTATATATAAACTTTTAGTCATAAATTGTGTCAAGGAATTACCTCCTTCAATTATGATATGATGTTTAGGAACACCCTATATAGTTACCTGGAAATAAAATACAAATATAAAAACCATAGTATGTATAACTGATAAATATATATTCGTAAATAACTAGAAAAAATAAGCTCATAAATTACCTGTGCCAGCTTTTTATTTTGGAATTGAAGAACTTTTATATCCATTTCTTCAAGCGTAGACACAGGTCCAATTAAATGGGGTTCAAAGTGGATTTTCTTGATAGGGGGCTGGTTCCCGCTGGTACCTTCTTCTGCGTGTCTCTTCGACATATTGGTTGGGCTTATTTAAAGTTAAATAAAATGGATAGTCTATCTTGTATACGCCGGAATTAAACCGACTGTTACTTTCGTCAAAACTATGAAATATAATTAATTTAGTGAGCTAAAAAAGTAAATAAATAGTCAAGTAACAGTGAAAAGTCTAATACAAAAGACCAATTTTATATGGAACGTTATTAAAAAAATATATATGTAGCATAATTACTAAAAAGAGCCCAAACGACTTGCTGTACCAAAAATCACCAAAATAAAGCACAAAAGTGAAAAGTGTCGTGTCAACGTCATAAGAAATGACAAATGACATTTTGGTATCTTAATCGATAACAACGTAACTATTCTTTTTTTTGAAGTAGTGTAGCATTTGTCTCATAGATGGTATCCTAATACTAAATTTGAATATTGGACAATGATATTGGCGTTGTATGAAGAAATATAGTAGGGTAACCTTATGGACTTATCATTGGAGGACGATGGATATAGAATGTAGATGGCGACACTGTACTTATATCCAAGTCAGGTCTTTAGGTCATGTCTGTGCTTGAGTATGAATTATAATTTAAAATCTTCTTTTTCATTTATACTTGTCTTCGGTAATGTATTTGTATAGTTAATATTTCAAAAGGGTATTTGAAGGTCACATAAAATACCAAAAAAATCAATATAATAAAATAAACCAGTTTTTGTTTGAAAAAGATTGAATGATTTAAGATTGGATGGAATTTTACTATAATAGGGGAACATTTTTTTTTCTATATTGTGGTTGGATTTTGGATTGATCGCTGATGGTTAATTAAAACTTGAATTTTACGCTGTTTATTTTTATTCACTTTTATATATAATGGTATCAAATTAAGAATAGGACATGAACAACTGAAGATTATTGTTCAAAATGAGTCGAATAGACAAAAATAAAAAATGCTTGGATAAAATATTCTGAAATACAGGATGTTAAGTTGAAAATTAAAAAATTAATAATGGGTAAATATAAAGGTGTAGTTATAATTTTTTTATTCAATATAATTTTACTAAAATCGGCACTGACAAAATTTAACTAACAGTTTTTTTTGCTGTTAGGTAAACTTATAATACCAAACACTTTTAGTGAAATTATACTAAGTAATAAAAACATTTAAGCCACTAATTTTCAGTTTTCAACTTTTATCACCATTTGAAAACGAATCGAGTACCAATTTATGATAGCACAGTAGCACATTTAGGAGTATTATTTTCGAAAGGCAAAATTACAAATTTTTCATTTATTTTTTTGTACATGGAAATACTTTCCTGCATGCCCTACAGTGATGAAGCGCTCAACAAAGGCGTCTCAAAAAATAAATTATAGAAAATGCGAATGTTTCATATTTGATTAGATAATTAACATTGACATAAACCTTCATTGCTCAGGACGTTAAGTGCTCAACTTTGGATTTCATAAAGTTCAGTTACCGACTACTACTATTTTTTCTGAACTGTTATCAAAATACTATAAAATTTAGCAGAAAGATTGCATTAATTGTATATTTTATATTTTTTCCAAAATAAAAAAGAATGTTTTTATCTGTAATTGAATCCGGGTTGGGAAATCCAAACTTGAACGCTTAACGACTTAAGTCTTGAAGGCACTTATATCAAGTTAATTATCTAATTAAATATATGACGTGGCTTTTAAAAATACCATCATTGTGCGCTCCACTGCTGGTGTGTCCATCTTCTACAAGAGTAAAAGAAGGAAACATTTGTAAAGTTGTCTTGCACAAATGTGTACCAAAAATGGGCAACTGGCTCTCATAAGCCTTTTTCGTTTAATTGTCTCATTATTTGAACACTAAACGCCAGCATGGGAAATATATGTTAAAGTTAGTTTTAAGAACTTTTAACATTCAAATAAACAAAAACAATTTATAAATCTATTATTAAAATCCGCGTTGGAACAAAACATGTAAAATTGTTGAATTTGAAAGATATTCTAAAAAGGGAAAGGACTTCGGTCGAGAGCCTAGTGGACAGAATATTCAGTTCAATCAATGACAATTATTAATATTACTATTCTTAAATATTTTGTTGTTTAATTTACTTGTAAATTTATGTGTGAATATATTTATAAATTACACTGGTCACCAGTGATTTTGTGGACGGGGGTTTAAGAGCGTTTTTGGGCGATCGTTTTACCGATTTCAAATCGCTTCTCCAGCCTATAAATCTTCAATTTAAAAAGAATAAAATAAAGTAGTTGTCTAAAACTAAAATAAATTTGCTATCTCGATTATTTCCAAACTTTTCCTTAACGCCTTAGTTATAAGTTTCATATTACATTTTTTTTATTTGCAATTTCTGTGGAATCATTACTTTTCACTTGCGTTATTGTTCTTCTAAAAAAGCGAAATGTTACTCACGTTTTGCTTGATGGGCTTTAATTTTTGAGATAGTCAACCAGTCGAAATAAAAAAAATTCAAAAAATAATAAGACATATTATTTAATCAGTTTTGTCTGAGCCCCGGTCTGAGCTAACTAAAAGGCTGTATTCTATAAACAATGAAAAATAGTGATTGTTTTTTGAACTACTTAAAACATTTTCACTCAAACTGCGTGCGTGATTCAATTTAAAAATACTTTCCAGAATAAAACCACGTGTTACAGTTTTGACTTTATTACTAAACAGCCCAGTCATATACAAAAACATTAATCCAAAATCTAAATTAAAAGTACCTAATAATAAATTGCCTATCTACTAGGGTCGGTAACCAAACGTATAAACAGAATGGGCGGATTTTGTTCATACTTAACATTACACTCTGCACTGACACTTAACCTGGATTAAATATAACTATAAATACAAATATTTACAAACAAATATACTTTTCCAAACAGTGATAATTTATAAAAAAAATGTTTTTTATAAGATTTTCTTTTATGTTCAAAGTTAGGACTTTATAATTATTGTGTCGTTCGTAAAATTCTGTACTAAATAAGAGCACTGATTTTGGAAATAAATTTTAACCATTTTGGCAAGTTGTTGAACCTTGTAACATTGCATAATGAAATATAAAGACTAACTGAATATGTCTGCCACAGATAGACCACTTGTAGGTCTATCGATTTCGTCTTGAGCTATTCCTAAAGAGCGGAGCTATTGAAAACTTCCTTTCAACGTGATTTATTTCAACACTCAGAGCCAGCCGAGAGAACATTTTTTCTTATATTCATGGTCAACAGCCAAGATACATTTGGTAGTCGCTAATATTATATCCCTGTGACTATTTTTTTTTAATTTGTTTTCCAGTGTTGATTGTTGATTGATTTTTCCCTGATTAGTGATTTTCTTGTTCCTTAACTCAATACCTTGCAAACTGTTGATAGCTTTAATTAAATTTTGTAGCAAAGCTTGTTCAAATTTTAAAAACTATAAAAATATTCAGCTATTTTTATGGTTATAAACTTTTCCAACACTTAGTCCAATTAGAGGTACTTAGATTACATGCAACATTTTCAGAAGCTTATTCCTTTTTTGTATTCTACTTGGAACTTTTCAATTTATTTAAAACATTGGACATTGTTATCAGTTGTTATTGTTTATATCTTCTATGGTTTATATATTTTGACATAACCGCACATAACCAAAATATTGACCAAAGTCCTTAACCACTTTTTATCACCTTAATCCAAAAATTATATTTGTACGGTTTTGTCAACTGGAATAAATTTTCATTATTATGTTTAATTTTTCATATCTTTTATTATGAATTGTTATTTTTAAATAAATAAAGACGTTTTTAACTATAATAGGTAGGTGCCTGAACGAAAAGAAGACGTAGATGGCGTATCTGCATAGCATTAAAAATTGACTACTTCATTAAATCGTCACTAGATGCCGCTCGAGATTGCGTCCAACACTTTTTACTGTTGCATTATCCTACTATATTATCTTCATACAACGATATTGGCGTTGTATGAAGAAATATAGTAGGGTAACCTTATGGACTTATCATTGGAGGACGATGGACATAGAATGTAGATGGCGATACTGTACTTATGTCCAAGTCAGGTCTTTAGGTCATGTCTGTGCTTGAGTATGAATTATAATTTAAACTCTTCTTTTTCATTTCTACTTGTCTTCGGTAATGTATTTTTATAGTTACAATTTACTATTTCAAATTATTACAAAAGCACAGAATACAGGGTATTTGAAGGTCACATAAAATGCGAAAATAATCCATATAATAAAATAAACCAGTTTTTGGTTGTAAAAGATTGAATTAGTTGAGATTGGGTGGAATTTTACTATAATAGGGAACATTTTTTTCTATATTGTGGTTGGATTTTGGATATATCGCTGATGGTTAATTAAACTTGAGTTGTACGCTGTTAATTTATATTCACTTTTATTTAATGGTATCATCAAATTAAGAATAGGACATGAACAACTGAATATTATTGTTCAAAATGAGACGAATAGAGGAAAATAAAAAATGTTTGGATAAAATGTTCTGAAATACAGGATGTTAAGTTGAAAATTAAAAAAGTAATAATGGGTAAATATATAGGTAGTTATAATTTTATTATTCAATATAATTTTACTAAAATCGGCACTGACAAAATTTAACCAACAGTTTTTTTTGCTGTTAGGTAAACTTATAACATAATACCAAACACGTTTAGTGAAATTATACCTACTAAGTAATAAAAACACGTAAGCCACTAATTTTCAGTTTTCAACTTTTGACACCATTTGAAAACGAATCGAGTACCAATTTATGGTAGGCACATTTAGGAGTATTATTTTCGAAAGGCAAAATTAAAAATTTTTCATTGTTTTTTTCTTTTGTACATGGAAATACTTTGCTGCATGTCCTACAATGATGAAGCTCTCAACGAAGGCGTCTTAAAAAATAAATTATAGAAAATGCGAATGTTACATATTTCATATTTGATTAGATAGGTAATTAACATTGACATAAACTTTCATTGCTCAGGACGTTAAGTGCTCAACTTTGGGTTTCGTAAAGATCAGTTACTGACTACTAGTATTTTTTTCTGAACTGTTATCAAAATACCTACTACAAAATTTAGCAGAAAGATTACAGTAATTATATTTTTCATATTTTTTCCAAAATAAGAAAGAATGTTTTTATATGTAATTGAATCTGGGTTGGGAAATCCAAACTTGAATGCTTAACGACTTAAGTCTTGAAGGCACTTACATCAAGTTAATTATCTAATCAAATATGTGACGTGGCTTTTTAAAATACCATCATTGTGCGCTCCACTGCGTGTCCATCTTCTACAAGAGA